GAAGAACATGGCTGATATATTAATATGAGAAGCATTTCTGAAAAAAAATCTTTAAAGAAAGGGTTCAAACTGGGGTTATTGAAGCAGCCTCGTTTCCATGTTTAGTATTTTATGACATGCGCATTACTCGTCAGCATAAGTGAATTTGGGCTGGCTCCATATCCAAAAATGTTAGTACTAGGGATGTTAGTAATGTGGCAAAGTTTCATGCTTTTATCAACAAAGTGAACAATTCAACATTTTTTTGGTCGTTAACAGCTGGACTATGACAGATCAATAAATTAATAAATTATCGTCTTCTTTACTATAGGGTGATTATTATTCCACTGACTGGAGTCCTCCTTCAAAAACGAGTGAAGGTACAGGTTTATTTCTTCCATATAATTTTAATTTGATATTGGTATTTTATTATTTAATCATAATAATATAAATAAAAATGAATAAAAAGGAGTATGAATTTACAGTGACAGTATTTTGTCACAAGTTTTATTAAATACACGCCAGGTATAATATTGCTTTTCCAACTTTATTTTATATCAGACATGTTGTAAATTATTTAATACATGATGATCTTCTTAATCATACATCAAACTCATTAATACTTCATGAGTAAATTAGCCAGCCATATTACTTTATTTTGCTTACATGATAATTCTGGATACCTGATGCAACATATTGATCCAATCTTATGACTGGATCGAAATTAATTCAGTCCTTGGACTGGATGAAAATGAATTCACCTCACTTTAAGTAGTATTATATTTCAAGTCTACGCAATTTGCGAGTACGAGGCGAAGCCAATCAGGACTGGATCAAAATGCGAGGACTTGAAATCTAGTCCAGTCCGAATTGGAGGATTTTAAATATTACTTCAAATTTTAGGTCAAGTTACAGATCAAGTTCCAACTGACGTTCCAGGCAATGATGGTGGTTCAAAAAACTATCTTATTGGAATGGCAGTTGCAATTTTGGTGGTTATTTTAGTTGTTATTATCGCTTTCTATATTAACTGTAAAAATCGTCGATGCAAATCATCAAGAACCGAAGCAAAGGTGGAGAAGACAAATGATGTAAGTAATCCACAATATATTTATGATGATGACGGCAATTATGAACAAGTAGACGATGAACAGTCGACGTATACAGCTCTCAATAAGCCTGGGGAAGTAATCGATGATCATTTATATGCTCATTTAAATGAGGTAACACAAAATATGTACGCGGGTCAGAAGGAAACTGGATTCTAATGTCTTATCAATGCATAGTTAATCAAGATATGGTCTGCAATAAATTTCAAAGTGTCTACAGTGAACTAGGATTTTATGTTGGAAACACAGCTTCACTATAAATAAATCTTCTCAACATTTGCTTGTTAATATTTCCACTGTACGCTTGAGTGTGCCATTGGATGATTGCTTCATTGTTATGCCAAAAAATCAATGTCTCGACCGTGCACAAATTTACACAGAAATAAACAAAAAATGAAACAAATTTAAAACTCTCTCCAGATCATATCTTCATTGACTATGGTTTAGACAAAACGGCTTGTCCTTCCTTCTGTGACTTTGCTCAGCAATTCCGCGCGATGAAATGTAGATGAATCAATTTTGTAATAATAATACAATAATGTAGCAGATGTAATTGATACTAATAACTAATTGGTGTATTCCAATCAAGGACTTGGGATTAATTAGCTAAGGACTGTGCGTAATAATTAAGCAGATATAATTGATACTAATAACTAATTGATATATTCTAATTAAAGACTTGGAATTAATTAGCCAAGGACCGTGCGTAATAATTAAGCAGACATAATTGATGCTAATAACTAATTGATATATTCTAATTAAGGACTTGGAATTAATTAGCCAAGGACCGTGCGTAATAATTAAGCAGACGTAATTGATACTAATAACTAATTGATATATTCTAATTAAGGACTTAATTAGTCAAAGGCCATGCGCAATAATTAAGCAGATGTCGTTGATACTAAAACGAATCGATATATTCTAATCTAGGATTTGGAAGTAATTAGCCAAAGATTGTGCGTAATAATTAAGCAGATGTGATTGATACTAATAACTAATTTCAACTAATTACAGTATTCTAATAACGGATTGATGCTGGGAAAGTTTGATGGTCAATCCATGTGTTTGTAGTTAATGTGTATTGTCACTATGGAGTGAGTATATGTGATGCTAAATGTTTCCATTACTTTCTGATAGTTGTTTCCTTCCAGAAATTGCACTTTCACATCTACTTGGCGAAACCCATGTATACGAAAATTATCGTAATCAATGTCTCGGCAACCTTGATCGAACGCGCAGCACTCAGATATCTTGGCATGTATAAATCAGACCATGATCTAATCGGACTGATCCATATGAAACTGAAAGTATCTTACAGTAGTTCTCGACAAACGTGTACTTGGAGCCAAACTGTCCTTAACTAGCTTTGTTTAAGATCAAATCTAAGTAAAGCTTCGGCAATGGCAGTTGTTAAAGATAATAATTTTGTAAAGGTCTGTGATTTACAATTTCTTCAGCGTACGGTAATGAATCCGTTATGAAGACATTTTCAAACGGAACATCTGATGCTGTGAATCGCTTCCAGGACTCTTGTGGAAACACGCCATAAGTGACGTAAGCACTAATTTTGGTCGTCGCAGCTTTCTTCAGAGCCTATGTCATAAATTTGACCGGAAATACATATATCAACTCATTTCCTTCCCATGTATAAAATTTAGCGTTAACGTTACTGCCAAATCTCAGTGTTCTCCATGCCATCCAGTCATGATCCAGTGATCGGAATGTTCCATTGTCTTTTCATTGTTTTGAAAATAATCCCACTGTTCTTCATGCCATCCAGTCATGATCCAGTGATTGATAAGTAATGGAATGATGATTTATCGTGCAATTGGAAAAAAACATACACTCGTAAGTTTTTCAAAGACTTCAAATTGCACTCGTCCTTCGGACTCGTGCAATTTTGATAATCTTTCAAAAAATCACTTGTTCATGCTTTTTCCGAATTGCACTCGAAACCATACTATTACCTATACAAATAATTATGGTTAAACGTACAAGGCGCCATATTTTTTGTTGTGATCAAGTAAAATACAGTATCGCCATGTTCCCACGGGGATAAATTTGTTCCAGTCCACTTTTGTTCCAGCCTAGCGTTAAAGTCCCAGCTTCACAATCCCCTTGGATTATAGACTCGTTATTTACCCTGCACCCCGGGGAAAATGCTACATTAAATACGCGTTAATCCACGGCCGTGTCGCCATTAATTCCCCGCCCTTTCCCGGGGGTCGGGGGACCGGGGTTTCAATTGACAAGTGTATTAGTTATTCAGCAAGTTTCTTCTCAACTTAGTGAGTAGTGGGTTCATTAACTTTCGGTATAACATATCGTTTACAGACCCTCTACTCGGGGGATTCAGGAAAACTATATATTACACTCAATGATGATATCAGGGCAAAACTCCTTGGGAAATATCATCACGTCGCGGATAATATTTGGCCGCATCCCCCTCGTTCCCGGTCTATAATTAGCGATATTATATATAGCTAGCTTCAGTGGCGTAGCCAAGGGGAGGGGGGGCGACCGCCCCCCCCCCCATCGCCAAAAAAATCATTCTCTGAAAAAGGCTAAATCCGTAGAGAAATTGGGGTGGGGGCGGGGGGGTACACGTTACACCCTCGAAGCTGAAACTGATTAAGTACGTCTCGGCTGAGGAAAACGACGATATACTGGAGGAAATTGATTTGTAAAATCCTATGGTAAAATCTCGTTAAAGCAGTTGCAGATATGCCAAGAAGAATAGATTTAGTTTAGATTTACATGTATGCATTATCAAAGCATGAATATTCTTCTCAGATTTATTCAGTATCTTATAAAAAAGCAAGGCAATTTTGAAAATGCGGAAATGCTGTCTCATAGAACCTGGAATGATTTATTAAAATGCAACATGTCTGATCAAAATCACATTGGAATTTTCTTCAGCCAGTTACACAGAGGGGAAAAAGGTGACGCTGACCGGCTCCTCCTGCTTTTCATGGTAACTTTGGGAAAATTTATGTCTTCGATGTACTTTATAATCTTCGGAATTCTGCAAGATTTCACCCCCAAAATGCTTGAAATCGCATTTCAGGGACATTAGATTTCAAAATTTTCCCGGGGGGCATGCCCCCGGACCCCCCTAGATGGTCTCGCGCATTCGGCGTTCGCTTTGCCCCCCACCGAAATGAAGGTCTGTCTACGCCACTGGGTAGCTTGCGTTTAATATCGTATCGGTTTTGCGTGCGGACGGTGGAAAACAATTCGATACGCTTCGTGTGAATGCGCCGTATATTTTTTGAATCCCCAGCAAAATGTTAGCGTATTTAAACTAATCCGGTGTCCCAGGATTTTATCCTCCTACATTTTCGCCCCCCGGGGGGCGACATTTCTAGGAATATCGTCCCCCCCCAGGGGGGCGAAAATCCTAGGAATTTCGCCCCCTTTTAGGAAATTCGCCCCCCTTTAGAAACTTCACCTTTTCTTTAGGATTTTCGTCCTCCGTTCAAAATTTCGCCCTTCCTAACAGTTGCATGGGGTAATTATTACATGGTTGTAATCATTTGAAATCAGTATCAATTCAAAATTGTTAAGACAGAGCTTGAAATAACAACCGATCACCGATCAATGATCGGCAAGGAATTGCTTATGATCGGCGGAAAAGCAGGGTTTCGGTTTCCAACCTGAAAAAAGCAGGGAAAGTCACGACTGCCGATCACCATGATCGGGAACTTTGGGAACGTTATTTCAAGTCCTGCATGTAAGAATACAAATTTACAATTACATGTATCGAAATGGCTTTACACAGTTACAGTAGATCAATACTCAATAGGACTTATGACGCTTCACAGCACACCATGGATATTTTGCATTTTCAGTGTTAATCCTTAATAAACTCATTGTTAAAAAGTAATCACCGTGGTGGTTATTGTAATTATTGGTATTGTTTTGCATCCACGTTTTGTCGTTATCGGAAAATGTATGGTTTGTCACTATTTTTTACATGCATTATTTCAATATAGTTTGTAAATCTCAGCGGAATATCGCCCCCTTTTTGAGAGGGGGGG